TTTACAAGCTCACACTAAATTTGTGGATATAGGTTATTTTAAAGAATAATTGATGACAATTTTAACTTCCCAAATTATATTTTGAATTCATTGTGTATTATATTTTGAATTCATTGTGTATTATATTTTGAATTCATTGTGTATTATATTTTGAATTCATTGTGTATTATATTTTGAATTCATTGTGAAATAAACACCAATGAAAACATCTCATGTATTATGTAGCCATGACAGTTTTCATAATCATGCCTTTAAATGTATTATATTTTAAGACTTTCATCAACATTTCTGCATATTGATAATTATAAGAATAAAAACCTAACTTTGTATATTCGTGCTATTTCTTGTAATTTAGATAGAATACTCTGTCTTCTGTTTTACAAATTGTTCTCTTAGGAGCTGTCTTTCTGTCTCATAAAATAGGTCAATGGGACTATTATTGCACTGATGATAAATTATATAATTCTGCTTTACAATGAGATATTTTCTACAGTATTTGAATTAAACCATATGCTTCTGTCATAATAAAAGAATTATTGACAATTGTTTTTATAAAGTAGTGAAAAAGCTATATATCCAAATTTTCTCTTTCTGACACATATGTAGGAGGTAGAAGGCCTATCCTTCTTCTCATAAAATTTCTAAGCTGCTTGGACATTTGGCTAAGATCAAGTTTTTTAGCCTCTTTTCTAGATGGATATTCAAAGTGCTATGACCCAGGATAGAGTAGGAAAAAAGAAATCAGTAAGAAAATAATTTCCTGCTTTGCAGTTTCAATATGTGCAAAATTTTTGTTTTACTGTATTTTGGATCACTGAGCTCTATCCAGTCCTTGAAAAGTTAATAATAACAGAAACAATGGCAGCCTTTTGCCATTTCCATTGAGCCTATACTGAACTTAACTTTGGATGGTTTTGTTCCTCCTTACCAACATAAAAATCAGTAGTTTAATAGAATGTAATGAATCCATATGGAAAGATAAATTTAATTTGCTGTTTCTGTTTTCCTACCAATTTTCTGTTTCTAAATCTGCATGTTGTGTCTAGGCATTTTGAAGTGGATTTCTTTATTATGGGAATGTCAGAGTGCTGTTTCCATCTATTCCCAATTATAAGTAAATTTAATCACTTTGGTATATTTCCTCATTTGGTCTAATAAATATACAGTAGTAATATAAGGATAGTGACAGCAAAACACAACAACAAAGAATCGGAGCAGAGTGGCATGTTCTGTATACCAATCTGATTCCTACTGTATTTGTTCTCCCCTCATCATGTGGTTATATATGAAATTGTCTTCCAGAATATTGAAAGACAAAGTGAGAACATTTGTATAATTCATAGAGCTCCAGTGGAAGTTTGCTCCAAGAAAAAAATACCTTGCTCAACTTACCTTTTTTTTAACCATTAGATTTCTAAGGAATCTAGAGGGAACAATATGTTTTTCCCCATACCCCTAATTCTTTACTGGCTATACAATAATGGAAGAGAAATTAGCATTCCTTTGCATTGCAATTGTTTCAAATAAAATTCAGACCAGAAGACGTTTACTAAAATAATAAATTTAAATTTATTTGTTTAAATATGCTTATTTAAGGATTCAATATTGAAAAAAAAATCAGCTAGAAGTTGATAGTTAAAAGAATATTCCCTAAACTACTGTTTTAAAGCTACTTTGCTAGTGCAAGCCTTGCTAAAACGAATAGAGTTTGAATCAGAAGATTCTTTTGAGTATCAGAAGATCAGTCTGTAAAATGATAAGCTATCCAAATGTACCATCCAGCTAACAAACTTAACTGCTGCCTTTGCATCAGGACACAGATGGATGGGAAAAATGACCCTGACCTCCATAAGACCTACATTCCTGTGGAAGCATAGAAGCATGATAATCAGGAAATGACGGGTATTAGTTACAGAAAATGCATTATTGTGAAAACCAGGAGAAAAGTGCTCATGAGAGGAAGTGATTGGATTATATGGGAATGAGTGAATAAGACTGGGTTATTCCTACTGAGTAAATTGCTGTGATTTATAAGAGAAAGGCTATGGTGATATCTTACCCATTTCTGGCTAGACTTGTTTCACAAACAGTCTTAAATCAATATGTGACAGTTGCCATTGGCACAAAGTTTGTTTATATAAGATGTTTGTTATAAAGGTTCTAGGCTGAAGCTAATAGATTTCCAATTTCCAGTCGTATTTTAGTTATACCAATTCATCTGAAGTGTAATTCTCCTTTTGGGTGAAAATTCTTCAGCTATCACAAAAGCCAATAAAGAGATATATTGGTGCTTTAGATGAAGAATTTGAAAGGCATTGACATCCTGATCCTAAATACATTTATATGGAAGTGTCTAAATGTTCATCCTTTTGAGTTTTTTGCAGCTGTGGTTTTCAGTCAGGATGTGTTGTTTCCCAGGCATGTTGCCATTGGGTGAGGTGGTCACATATACAGTTAATTGACTGCCATTTTCAGAATTTTCCAATTCTTTGATACTTGCAATTCCTCAAAACTAAAAGATTGATTCAGTGCAAGGCATAATTCTGTACAGAGGCCAGCTCAGCCTGTGTCAGCATAGCTAACAGCAGAACTAAATAAAAAGGCTGTCAGAGCTTAAATGTTCATGTGAACAATCTCTAATTTCATTGGTATCAGAGGCATTTGCTTTCAAATAAATGCTTGGGGCAGAAGCTGCATTACAGAAAAGGATTTATATTCTGTAGAGCAAGCATCAAATTTAGATATAGGAACAATATCTTTGGCTGGAGATTTTTACATAATCATTTATATGAATCATCTTTCTGTTTTTGAAAATCCATTAAATTATAATTAAATAATTAAATTATCAATTAAGTATATTTAAATAATTTACTTCAATTAAATCAACTATTATTTCATTTCCTTCTCTTTTCTACCCCAAGGAGTACTACAATCATCTAAATTTTCATTTTGGTATCATAATTATAAAAAAGATGCAAACCTCTCCCAGTACCTGGTTAACATAATTAGTTTCCACTGAAAAGGCTTCCATGCCCCTTTTCTCCAGACCTTTTTGTCCACATATCTCAAAAGGAGATTTGCCTCTGTCCTTGTAGTATTAGTCAAGTGGAGGAGATTATCCATTATGTCCCCCACTGGCCCATTTACAGTGAGATCAGGGCCAAATTATTAATGGCAGATAAACTCAAAAGAGTCCAATCTTAAAAAATTGAACTATTTTCTTCCAGATGTTTTTCCAACAGTCAATAACCAAGTTGCTACCTTTGTCTGTTCTCATGTAAACTTAGGAAGAAATGCTTCATTTCTTATCTGTAGCTTTGGCTTTATTCTGTATAACCTTTTTATATATAATACGTCTATTATTCTATTTTATATTGTATTGTTTTGTTGTTTTATTGTTATTCATATTTTATGACATTCCTATGCTATGACCTGTGGTTACAACAATAAACTTATGAACTTTACCCCAAGAATGTAAATAGACTTAAAGGCAATAATCCAATAAGGAAAAAGAATCCACAATTGTGTTGTTTTTGTATAGAGAAAGTCAGAATTAGAGTTATCTCCTATCTTTCCTCCAAAGGTTTCAGGTAATACATATAGCTCTGCCTCTATTTTTATCCCCACAGTGATTACCTTAGAGACGGAGCTTAATCTGAAGGTAGTGGCTGCCCCACAGTTGCCAAGTGAATTTCCATAGCTGAGGGTGGCCATCTTGGTGCTAATGCAAAATTTAATCATATACCCCCCTCCCCACAGAATTGATTTCTGGAAGATAAATGATAGCGCACACACACACACCATAGGTGCTCTTGCCATAGGAGAACTTGCATCGTATTTTTTGGTAAAAGCATAGTACCAGTAAAGAAAGCTTTGGGAGGAAAATTGTATTTTAGCATTGTAAATAAGTATTTTAATGTCCAGCTATAATTTGCTCTTTTAGGCAGTTGGCGCTTCATTGTATTAATTAATGTTATTGCATAATAATAATAAAGACTTCATGGGTCATAATGACAGTTTTTGATATAAATGTTTTTTAAAATAATCTTTTGACGTACTTTTCTCCCTGTAGCTCCAGATGCTCCCCCAGCAAATGTAACTGCAGTAGCTACATCTCCTTACAGTATTAATATTAGTTGGAATGAGCCTACCATAATTACTGGACCAACATTCTACCACATTGATATTTCCTCAGTAAGTCATTTCAAGTCTTCTATTGTTTGACTGTTATTATTCATATAGTAAGTAAAAGCAGAATTTTACTTAGGAATCAGCTATTAAATAATATTTTATTGAGTGTTAGTATACAATAAAAACATGGAACCTGCAGTTTCTGCATATCTTTTTACACCTTTAGTACTCCCCTGGCAACCCAGCAGAAAATTGTATCTTGATATTTGGGAATAAATAGAAAATATACAGAATCTCACCAACTTGAACCATTAGGTTCCCCCAAAATGCTAAAAGCAGCCTTTGGCCAGTCTTCTGAATAGAGGATATTGTACACTGGACCAAAAAAGCTGCAGCTGATATGTTAACATTAATAATCTAATCAGCTGTACCAGATTCGACAACCTTTTATCTTTTTAAAACTATTTTTAAAAACTATATCTGTTTGGAAGATTCCTAGTAGACTCAAGGATTGAGTCATAAAAAAAAGTTAGCTGTGAAACCATTTTGCTTCTAATAGCATCCTTTTTATCCTTTCTAATTCTCCTCTCCACCAAAATACAAGGTAGGGACGAAATGCGAGCAGTCCTCATTTAGTGACCGCAATTGGGTCTGGCAATCAGTCATAAAGTGAAATGGTCACTAAGTGACACCACAACTGTCTTTACTTCAGCTTTCCTTTGCTTTACAGATCTGTGAAGGTCATAAATGTGAGAATTGGTTGCTAAACTACCAGTGTTCACAGTTACTTTTTCATCACTGTCATTTACAATCGCTCTACGAGCTAAAAGAAGACTACTTGTCAATGCTATGAAAAGTCTAAATAGATTCTACTAGATTGCATAATGGCCTTGAAATCATATCAAGGAACACACAGACTGAGTGTGAAGACTCTGGGTTACTAAGGTCTTAGATAATCTCACCATTCTAAGAAATCTCTAAATATAATCACAGATAGTCTTTGACTTATCACCATTCATTGAACAACAATTTGAAGTTGCAATGGCTCCAGAAAAAAAAAGATGTATGACCTGTATTTACACTTACAGGTAAGTATAGAGAGGTACAGGGCACCACACCCATCATTATGTGATCAAAATTAGAACACTTTGAAACTGGCTCATTTATGACCAATTGCAGCATCTTGTGATTGATTTTCAGCAACAAATTCCCATTGGGGAAGCTGTATGATTTGCTTAATTACTACTGTAAAAATTGTGGTAACATCAGCTGAAAGTAATGATTTATGATGGAAATGCCGGTTCCAATTGTAGTCGTAAATCGAGGATTACCTGTACTTACATTATCAGTTCAAAAGATTAATTACTTTCTTTAAGGAAGTTTCCAATTCTTAACTTTTGATATGAAATTACTTACTTTCCCTTTAAGCTTCTGAAGATGTGACTCAAATAGGGTCAGTGCTCTAAGCATTATTTGTATAGCTGGTCACTGACATAAGTAATGTATGAAAAATTAGATCTAATCTAATTATCTAATTTGTTAATATTATTTACTGCATATACTGATTTCTCCTTTTTTTAAAACCGAGAATATTAACAAAGATTGATTTCTTTTTAATTGAATTTGCTAATGCATGTATCCATTTTGTTGGTTTCAGACATTGTAATATTATTCTGAATTTTTATCTTTGGTAATAATAATTGATTAAACTATAAAATCAATGTTTGTATAATGATCTATTAACTATAAATAGTTTTTCATTTGCGTAATAAAACTGTCTCCTCCTCCCCCTTCAGGCCTTTATATACACTAATACCTTGAGCAATACTCTAGCAATTATTTTTGTTTATTGTTAGTTTTCACTGTTTAATTATATATTGTCTTTTCTTTTTCTTTCTTTCTTTCTCCCTCTCTCTCTCCCTCTCTCTCTTTCCGTCTTTCTCTTACTTCTTTTCATTTTCTTGTTTGTTTAAGGATCAAGTATTTCTTGCTTTTCAGTGATGGCCAACATCATTTTTATTGCATTTTTCAGCCCCCTTGAACACATATGATTTACTTCAACTCCTTTGAGGCTAGCCTTTGACCACCCAGTGTGGTACTAAGTAAGGATTTAAAACCAAGTCTTCTTAGTGCTTTTTATTCACTGCATCATATTGTCCCCAGTATTATTTTTAATATGCACATCTTCATGTGCACTGTGTGTAAACACATACATGTTACCATAGGAAAAAGTTAATGAAATGAGCTTAGCTAATCTTCCGTGGAAAATAGTCCATGGCCCAGTCAAACAGAGCACAAAGCTTAGCATTGTGAAAATGGAAGAAGTCTTATTATGTTCCTATGTTGTTATAATGAGCAGTGATATATGAAGAAATACTCTGTCCCTTGATAGTCATCCCAGGAAATCAGTATCTGTTTAGTACATCAGAATCTTTATTTAAGGTTAACTCTCAGTGGGGACACTAAAGCACATCTGTCAAATAAAATATGTGCTAAAACTATCTTAGTCTCTTAGCAGCTGCATCTTCAATATGACCCTATGGGACTGCTACTGTAGACATTCGTTTTACTTTTTTCCTATTTCATAATAGAAAAGAAAATTGGAATATGACAAACATGTGAAAATGTTTTGGTATTCATTTCTATGAAATATTTTGTTGTGTTCTATTTCTGAGACCTTTTCTAATTCCATCATTGCTTTATCCACCTGAAATGGAGATCCCATGTGGATTTTTCTGAAACAGAATCTCACATAAAAATAACCATGCCTCTGGTGAACGTTTTGGCTTTATGCATGTACAACTGGATTCAAATATGAAGACAAGCAAAGCCTTCTAGTTCAGGTGTTCAAAAACTAGGCTTGCTCAATGTCTCAGATGCTGCATTGCAAAACTATTATGTGTACAAAGATCCTTTATCTATTCCATAGGTTTACTGACTGCATTTTATCATTTAGTCTTTAAACTATTATATTTCATCTACTTATACTTTAGAAATCTGTCCTGCAATATTATCAGTTTTTATATTTGGACCTTACATACATCACATATAAGTAAATTATCTTCAGATGTATTTAAATATTCAGTTGAGGCCTGATGATATATAGCAGTGATGGTTGCTGTGCCAAAAGCAGGTGGAGCATATGGGGGTCGTGCGCTGGCATGCAACACCCATAATGCTATGTGTGCGCAACCCCCAGCACACATTCATGCACGCAATCAGCCCCCTCCGCTTTTGCCACAGTTTTTTCGCCTTACCCAGGCTCCAGAGACTTCCTAGAAGCCTGGGGAGGGTGAAAACAGCCTTCCCACCCCCACCCCCCCAATGCCCTCCAGAGGTCTCAGGAGCTTCCCTGAAGCCTCCAGAGGGAAAAAAATAGACCTTGGGGAACCCGGAAGTTCAGGAATGGTGACTTCCGGGTTCCCCGTAGGGCCGATTTTCGACCTCCGGAGCCTTCAGGGACCTTCAGGAGGCTTCCCTGAAGACTCCATAGGGCAAAAAATGGTCCTATGAGCAAACCAGAAGTTTGTTCCTGAATTTCCGGTTTGCCCGTAGGGCTGGTTTTTGCACTTTGGAAGCTTCAGGAAAGCCTCCAGAGAGCGAAAAACAGCCTCAAAAGAAGGCCGAAGTCAGCTGTCCAGCACGCGCATGCGCACTGTCCAGCTGACCAGGTATCACCTTGTGTGCCCTGACAAATGGCTACGCATGCCATAAGTTCACCATCACGGATCTATAGGGTTGTGGTTCTTTAGAATTGTTTATAGTCTCTACTTATTCTATTTACTGTTTAATGGAACAATGATGAAATAGGGTATTTTGTGATATTGGATCCTAAGACAGACTGTTAGATGTAAAAATTGAGAGAGTAAAAAGCATGATGAAACTCCAATTTTATGCATTACAAAGTATTCTCACAGAAAAGATCTGGAAAATTATGCCAATGATTTCTGGATTAAAGGTTCCCTACTATATGGCCATAAACAAGATCTAAAGAAAATTTATTGCATTAGTACTGGGATAAAAAAGCATGACAAAGTCATTATGCATGCTGTGTCTGTTTGTGTTATTCCTTAAATTTACCCACCCCACACATGCTCTGCACTTTTTTTCCCCTTGCACAGGTAGAGATAATCATTCAATCCTGTTAATTTGGTTTTCTCTTGATGATATATCACCCATTGTTGAATAATCTAATAAACATTATGCTTTTGTACCTGCTTGGTACAGGTGGATGCAGATTACTATCAAGCTTCATTTGTCAAAACAAATTATGAGGATAAAACCCTCAGTATTTCAGGATTGAGAGCATTTACAAGGTATTCCATAGTAGTCACTGCTTTTGTAGAAGATGTTCAGACTGCACATACTGAAGGCAAGTCCAGTTCTTCCGTTATTGTTTCCACTTTTGAAGCAGGTAAGTGGCTAATTCTGTTTGTTCATTTCATTAAGTACCTGAGTACATAAATATTAGAAAGTAAATTACAACCAAAGTTGTAAAAAAAAATTAAAAGCATAAATAATTTTAAATGCATCTCTAAAACAACAAAGTATGCCATGCAGTGTCATATCACATAGAGACAAGAAAATCTAGATACAACCCCCTCTGGGCCATTAAAACTTTCAGCTTATCTGTTTTTCTTTTGAAAAGAAAGGTGGACCATGTAATTTTTATCTGATCTACCTGGAACTTAATATCACAGAGGAGCTTAAATTATCAACTATTATCTTCAACTTTAAGCCTTGGTCAATCTGTTGAATATAAAAAACCTAGTATATATATATTTTTCCCAAATGCAGTATAGTACAGGCAAATTGACTACAGATTTTGCTTCTTATGGTCTTTTAAAAAACCTATGCCATAATTTTTTTTCACTGAGAAATTAGGATACTACAGTATTTAATTGCTTTTTCAAAGAAAAGAAAAAGAAATAAAAGAAAAAGCAAAATGTGTAAGAAAAGAAAAAAGTTAATAAAAGTAGAAAACTAAGAAAAAGTGTAAACGGCTTCCGATGCTTTGCAGCATTTATAAATATAAATATATTTTAACCTCTCTCTCTAAAGTTACATCATGACTTTCCTTTCTATAATCTATCCTGTCAAATTGCCAAAACCACAAGTCAAAAGTTCATTTTTTAAATCATTTTTATGCAAAAAGTCCACAAGACCTACCTTTTAATCTTTTAGACTCTAGATCTGCTTAGTAATATTTTTAATTGACTTGTTCATCAGCTATTAATTTTTTTCAGTGCCTAGGGACCCACTTAACAATGTAACTTTTCAGAAGATACCAGATGAAGTAACAAAATTTCAAGTGATGTTCGTACCACCCTCTGAACTCAATGGGAATATTCAAGAATATCAAGCAATGGTATATAAAGATGATGACATAGACATCTTTCAAGTTTATAATTTAAGCATTATAGACAGAACAAACAAGTCAATAACTGCCATGATAGAGGGATTAAAAGGAGGCCACACATATAATATCAGTGTAAGTTGAACTCTTTTTCTCCACAATTAATAATAAGTTTACATTAAAAATAAAAAACTGAATAGGCTTTATTTATTTATTCATTTTAATTTATATATTTAAATTCATTGGCTGTCCAGTACCAATAGACCCTTGTTGCTTAGAAATCTATAAAATGAATAAATGTAATTAGATTTCCTGTTTTAATTTTCTTTCAATAATCTTGAAGCTGTCAAAATATATAGTGAAAAATGATTAGCAAAAAGGTAAATCACTGTTCCATATATAGAAATAAGACACACTGCCTTCAATGAAGTTATTGATACGTTCAGAATAAAATCATATTTTCCCATGTACTTTTTATGTTTTATATATGTTATCCCTTTAAATATGCATAATGAAATATAATTAATTGATACATTAGTAAGTATTAGACTAAACATGTTAAAGACTGTTTTATTTATTTAGGTCTATGCAATCAATAGTGCTGGTGCAGGACCAAAGATTCATCTTAAAATAACAACAGATATTAAAGGTAAACTATTATAAATTATAAAGCCAGGGACTGCAGAAGTATAATATCAGCTTGCTTTCATTTGGGTTTTCATACACTAGTTACTAGAATTTAATAAGCATATATCTTGTTTCATTCTCTATCTGGTCATAACCAATGATACTATTTTGATTGTAGTATAATGCAAGTTATCAATATAAAGTTAGATCTTACATAAATGGCATAATACTGAATTGAGTGATTTGTTATAAATTGAATTCAAATAATAATAGGGATTAAAATAACTTGAAACCTGTTTTGGCAATAAGACTATTGGTAGCCCTATAAATTTTGTACATTAATAGTGTTATGAATGAGATTCATATTTTCCGGTTTCTTGTGAAACATAAGATTTATTTGCACAATCTCACCTATAGTAATATAATTCAATAATAATTTCAGTTATTCAAAGATAAATAAGCACAATTTCCTATCTTAGAAAAGAAATGGCTAGAAGTGCTTAGGTAGCAAAACAGATAGTTACTGATTTATAATTTGTGAATTATCACTATTGGTAGGATCATAAAATGGCTATGATTCCATTCAATAGTACTTATTTGTTTCTTTATTAAATTTATTTGCCATTTACATTTACATTTACATTTTTTTTTACATTTTTACATTTGTTTCTTTATTAAATTTATTTGCCATTTACCTTGCTGTAAGGCAACTTACCTAGGCAACTTACAACAATAAAAATGGAAAAATGAAAAGAATTGTAAGCATAACAGTAATGGAATAGAATAAACAATTAAAAAGAAAAAAAATGAGAATACAGCATTGTGAGAATAAAAGAGGGTGTGAAAGGGAAGTGAGGTGGGGAGATGTGGTTTGCTATAAATCTAGAAGCTTCTAGTGGGATAGTTATCTGAATAGTAACTTTAAAATATTCATTGTGAGCACTGTAAAGCATTGTAGCATTTATTTGTCTCAAAACAGAACCACCAAGACCCAGTAAAAAGCCAGCGCCAGTTTATGATACTAGTGGAACATTACTCGCCACAGCCACTACAATTACTATTCACATGCCAGTTTGCTACTATAATGATGATCATGGGCCTATTAAGAAAATACAAATTCTTGTTGCAGAAGCAGGAGGTATAGATTGTTTTCTTCTTAAAAGGAATTTATGAATCTTCTTTCTATTTCTACCTTTTCTTAACCTCTATTTGTCTTACTTGCTCATGGAGATTTCTGAATTTTGGTTCTTGAGTTCTTCATGAGCTACATTTGGATTATAAATGAAAATTAATGGCAAAAAGAATGTTATTCACAGAAGATATCCTACTTGAATGAGCAGAAGAATTGAGCGGAAAAACTAGCAACAGAGAAAACAAATCTTCCTGCCATTGGTTTTACTCCATTTTTTAAACTCAATATAGAAATTTACAACATTTTGTGATATTAGCTCATCTGAAACATGGGATATTATATTTAATCAAATAGTAGCCTTGTCCTCATTTACTAATGAAAAATCTGATATTGGATAACCATTTGTCTGAAGTGGTGCAGGGTTTCCTGCCTAGGCAAGGGGTTGGACTAGAAGGCCTCCAAGATCCCTTCCAACTCTGTTATTCTAAACCTTATTTTCAAATTAATTGTCTGAGTATATAAATTTAGTATGCACTATAAATAAATTAAATTTGGACATGGTGGTATGAGAATCATATCAAGTTATTCAAACTTTGTGATAGGCGCTTAATTTTTTTTTTCATCACAATTCTTGGTGTTATTTGGAGTCATATTTTATCCTTTTTATTTAGGAATGGAGATAAAGTATTTAAAGGTAGTTATGCATACATAAAATTACAATTCTTTTTGATTCTTTAACAAATATTGTATACCTTAAAGCAGGGCTGTCAAACTCCCAACCCATGGGCCAGATGTGTCATGCGCTAGTCACACCCATGCCCATTTTAGCAAAGGGAGGGAAGTCCCAATACATCATGTGACAATGCTGTGACAATGTCAGTTTGACACCCCTGCCTTAAAGACTAATATATTTATAACTGTGTATGCTTTTGTATGCTACACTGTAATTTATCAGAGGCGTTACCTTAAAAGACAAATAAATGCACAAATAGAACTGGTAAATAATAAAAGAAAAGAACAAACAGGAATTATTACCTATATATTACTATATCACTTCTCTTTTTTGGGAATTCAGTTCAGAATGATGAAAATATCACCAAGTGGTATGATGCATACTTTAATAAAGCAAGACCTTATTTGGTAAATGAAGGCTTTCCAAATCCTCCATGTATAAAAGGGAATGAAGGAGTGAGCACCAAAGAGGATATTTATGTAATAGGGGCTGATAGCACTTGTATGATACCAGGAAGTGAAGAAAAAATTTGCAATGGACCACTGAAACCCAAAAACCAATATGTGTAAGTATTATTTATTTTATACCATCCATCTCACCTGAGTGACTCTGGGCAATTTACAATAAAATATGATTTGCATTTTTGGAAGAATTTACAGAGGTGAGAAAATTGACTTGCTTAATTAAGGAAAAGACCATATCTATATTTATTAGGAACTGAAAACTCTTTAGAACTTTTTGCTAAAAATGCAAAAAAAAAAAAAAATTAGTGATATGGATATGATTAGCATACAGAAAGATGCCAGTCATTATGTAACCTTTGAGAGAGAATATAAAATATAAATATATGTAGAACTGCTGTAAATATCGGAAACCACTGCTTTATATCTTTCTCTTTTTCTTTTTTATATTTTTTCTTTCATTTCATTTTTTTATTTACTTATTACTTTACTTTTTCTTTATTTAAATTTGTGCTGTTTTTACTTTGTAAAATATTATTTAATAAAAATTAATTTGAAAATATGCAGGATTTTGCAGCAGCTTGAAAGGTTTGGAGATTGTGGGGATATTCACACAGAAATGGTTGGTATCTTCTTAAAACAGACCTATATTTTCCTGGAATTTCATAGTTGCCCTTTACAGCTGCAATGCAGTTTGAGAAAAAGACACACCTGAATTGCTAGCAATTGCCAGTATGGATCTACAAGGCACAATTATGCTCCAAAGTACCATTTTTCTTTGAATCTAAAGAGCTGCAAAGCATGTCACAAGCTGCAAGGATGGTGTCTTTAATTTATATATACAATTTATAGCCTGTATACTTATAAAGTGAGCTTGTGTGTGTATGTGTGTATAATGTTATGTGTTTGCTGTTTATAGATTTAAGTTCCGAGCAACAAATATCAGAGGTCAATATACAGATTCAGACTATTCAGAGCCCATCAAAACTTTAGGTAAGGAAATGTCTATTTATTAGAAAGGTACAAATCATTTTGAAAACTTCCTAATGAATCTGTCTCCCTGTTGTTATAAAGATAACTTATTTGCACCAAAGATACAGGGCTACATTGACCATTGACTTTCACATCTGTTTCTTTTGGCCACTCTGCCTATATATGTAATCTCATTTGAGTTCCTCTAGGGCAGTGACTCCCAACCTTTTGGGCACTAGGGACCAGTTCCATGGAGAAAGGTTTTTCTGTGGACTGGAGGGGGCATGGTTTTGTGTGCAGCTTGTATCCTGTAGATGAGGCTTTGTATGTTTGCATGGCCCAGTTGCTGGCATGCTGTGGACCGGTGCCAGTCAACAACCAGGGTTTGGGGACCCCTGCTCTAGGGGGTCACTTACATTTTTTTTCAAATGTTCGTGCCATTTAATAAAATACTTCATTCATTTTTAGACTGTAAAAGTTATTGGTAAGAAGTAGTTCTCCGAAAGGCTAGCAAATTTATTGGTGCACCTATTAGTACTGATCATTGCCGTAATGACCAGGATGCAGTTGTAATAACTAGTGTATGATTTCAAATAATAGTTTGGAGTTTAAATCCTAATATACCACCAACTTTACATTACAGGTGATGGGCTCTCTGAAAGAGCTGTAGAAATAATACTTGCGGTTACTTTATGTATACTCTCTATTGTTCTCCTTGTGGCTATAATTTATGCATTTGCAAGGTAAGTTCATATCTAGGTACAAGAATTTTTTTGTTGTTGTAGAGGTAGAATTACTTATTAATTGAAATAAATTATATATTTACATTCATTGACAAATAAATATGTATTGTTATAACTTTATATCCAGCAAGGAATACATTATAACTAGAGGTCATAAACTTTATTCAACAATTTATAAGCATTGTATAGAAACCTAATCAGCAAACAGAATTAAAGACTAGCATGATTGAGGTCTAGTGTATGAGCTGGGTCGCACGCATAGTATTATGGGTGTGGCAACCCAAGCACGACCCCACTGCGCTCCCCCTGCTTTTGGCATAGGAGCCAAAAAAGGTTAGCCATCACTGACCTATAGCATAGTTTCCATATTTCAAGGACTTTGTAAATTGAAGTGTGATACTATGCAAAAGCACCTGGAATGAGTTGCATTAAAATCCATTCTTTATAATTATGCACTGTAGAACATATTTCAGAAATGCTCCAGTGAGGTTGAAGTTTATGAATAACATTAAATATTACATCTTATTCAATATCCTTTGTGTTGGTTTAGAATTCGTCAAAAGCAAAAAGAAGGGGGTACATATTCTCCACGGGATGCAGAAATCATTGATACTAAATTTAAACTGGACCAGTTGATCACAGTGGCAGACCTGGATATGAAGGATGAAAGATTTACACGGTAAGCAAACTCTTTAGGCAAAACAGTAGTTCTGGAGGTCTGAAGCCATGACCCTATTGTGACCTTTTACTTGTTTAGAAGTATTTGCGGTATTCTTATTTGCACAGGTCACGAAGATCCTCTTTCAAAGGGTGACCTCCAGACACTTCTCTCAGGAATTTAGATAATCATTTGGTCTTCCCCATGTTGGGATAAGAGAGAAGGGTGCCTTTATGTATCATGCCCTACTATTGCACATTATATCCCTAAGCTGAAGGGTTTTTGATGTAGAAATGTAAAGGCACTAATAATGCTCTGTTATAGTGGCCTCAAAGTAATGCAATAACATATTGCTCTCTGCTATCTGATAGTATCTCTGAAATCCATCAGCAATCAAGTTCAAGCTATAGCATGGTATGCAGATTCTGGATTTGTTTCAGGAGATCAGAATTCATGAATAGTCATAATTTTGACCGAATGGCTTATTTCAACCTAACATTTTTTATCAGATTGTTCTGAGATTCAAGTAGAAGAGTGAAAGAAGGAAAGAAAATTTGGAAGGAAAATATATGTTAATGTATTTTCACTTAACTTAGTGAGATATTGCTGCTGTTTTGACCTAGGCTTCTTGATACAGTAAAATGCACACGATTAAGTCCAAAAACCCTCTTTTATTGCAAAGGCTGTGAATTATATTCATTCACAGTCCATAATGAGTTCCAAATAGTAGTAAAGAGTTCTACAGCAGGCTGCCAAAGTCCTTCGGAATAAGGCTGATAAGCACCCACCCTTATCTTCTTTGAAAATGCTGCCAAAGACTTAATTGGCAATTAGCTTGGCAAGGCCACATGGAGCAAAGAGTCCAAATGTATTTTCAGAAGGTAAATTGACCAGCATTAACCAAGTTGCTTCCTGCCAAGTTGCTGACCAGCTCTAATTTATATCATATAGATAGTACTTAAAACCAAGGACATGTGCTTGCTTCTGTTTATATGGAGACATATGGGAGT